TCATGGTTTCTACCTACCACCATTGTACAGAGAAGGGCAAGAGAGCATATTCTTCCATTACAAGCTTATTTCTCCCTCCAATTAGTGTCCGGAAATCTGACTAATTCCAATCGGTAGCAGAGTCGGGGAGATAAATGATAGAAACGCAATTTGAACTAGCTTAAGCGAAAAAAAAAAAAGAAATTACAGGAAGGAAATCCAAGCTTCAGCAAGGGCAGGAATATGTGGGAATATGTCTAGCATTCAAGAACCATCCAGACCAAAGTTACCAGCTGGTCTTTCTATCTCTTATATATGCTCTTCTTTGAAATTTACTTTATTCTTTTTTCTCACTGAACAATGTGGTGGGAAACATGGCCACAGACAACATTAGAATTTTGAATCTCAGAATTTTAGCCACTTGAGAGAGCCTGGCTGAAATTCTTAGGTCCCAAATCCAGAAATCTTAGGAAAGACACTCATTATGCCAGGTATCCATTCTTGAACCGGTTAACTGTGGCCAGGTCATGAGGTGGCGTAAGAACATACCAGCTCCATCAAATACGAGTGTGGCAAGGTTTCTAGATAATAGTGGAATGTGTTGGGCAGACAGTCCCATACATAACCACTGCAGTGTAAAGCAGTGGGGGCAAAGCTCCCTTAAAAGACCAGCACTAAGTCTTGATCCAAATAAAAGCAACCCTTACACACTGAATTCTTCTTATTCTTCATTGTCATTGGACTTACTTAACGCATAGTTGTCAACTATGAGAACATTTCATGATACTTCAGAAACCCATAGAAATAATTAACCAAGTCATAACATGGACTTTCATGAAGGAAAGCCAAAAGAAGTCTCTACTACGTAAAGCTATACTCTCATTAGCAAAGACCAGCCAATAATGCACCATTGTGCAGATTTCAAAAAAGCTACCTTTGGAATACAAACTAGATTTTTAGCCCCTATCCACCCCTTCAGTCAGATGTCACTGCATAACTGTACATGTTGGTCTTACTAAGTGTTAATTTGGCTGTTTGAAATAAGTGGCTCTGAGAATTATTGAATGACAAAAAAAAAAAAGTGGTTATCAAGAGCTATAAAGGGTCTGAGATGTTACCCTGTTTTTAGGCTAACAAGTTAACCTGCAACAATTTCATGGATACTGGTAGAAGACACAAGACTCCTAGGTCAGAGACAAAGGACAGTTTATTACTCACAGCAATAGCAGTAGCCAGAGTAACATCATTTGCACTTCTCTGAGCCCCAATTCCCACATGATGAAGGCCAGGTGATGCTAACACATGCAGTGTGTTGCTTACAGGAGAGGCACCTGAGTGTAGAAGATTCCAGGCTTTTATAAGGGGCTGTTAGCAACTCTGTCCAACCTTTGTCCCAGAAGATTTTATGTTTATAATTCTCGACAACAAACAAATCTATCACCTTCCCCAGGAGGAGGTATTATCTCCATCTTCCAAAGGCTGTTTGCTATACAAACATCCTTCAAAGAGTTTCAGGAGCAAAGTTGTTAATGCCTTTGCTCAGATGTGAGACCTGTAGAGACTGGTTCCCTAACAGCAAGGGAAGGAGATTAGAGTGGGAAGGATGTAACATTTGTGCCCCTAAATCAGAGGTCAGCAAATGTTTTGTAAAGGGACCAGATATTAAATATTTTAGGCATTGCAAGTACTCACCTACACCATTATAGAGCAAAAAAGCAGCCATAGACAATATGTAAATGAGGTGAGTACAGTTGTGTTCTAATGAAACTTGATAAAAATAGGCAGCGGGCCATATTTGGCTTGTGGGCTGTAGTTTGCCCAACCATTGCCTTAGATGTTGTGTTTAGATTTGTTAAATTTCTTTCTTTTTTCTTAAACTCTTACTTTCACACTCCAAATCTAGCTCATTTAATAATCAATGTACTTTTTTTTCTTTTTTTTTTTTTTTTTTTTTTTTGAGACAGGTTCTCTGTTACCCAGGCTAGAGGGCAGTGGCCCCATAATAGCTCACTGTACCTCAAACTTGGGGGCTCAAGTGATCCTCCTGCCTCAGCCTCCCAAATAGCTGGGACTACAGGCATACGCCACCATGCTTGGCTAAGTTTTCTATTTTTTATAGAGATAAGATCTCATTCTTGCTCAGGCTGGAATTAATATACCTTTATCCTTTTTTTTTTACATCTAATAAAATTGTTGATATCTATAAAATGTGAAGTCAGAAAAGACATTTTGCAATTAGCATCTTAAAATATAAGCAGCCACAGATCTTATATATATTTCTGGAATACAGGTATCTGATGTGCAAAATATTGTACTAAAGTCTTGCTTTTCTGTCAGGATTAAGTGTATTATATATGGAAATAGTTGAAGGATTTATGGAAACCACTAGTTTTATTGAACAAAATATCACCTATGTAATTTATCTAGATATTAGAAAAGGTTGACTTAAGATGACTTGTATGTACTTAGGAAACAAAGATAAAAAAGCAATCAAACATTTTCATTTAGTCCCTTTTTGTAGTTTAACAAGTATGAACTGTTATCACAAAGTATCATTTATGATCTTGTTTATTGTGGAAGAGAGTACATAGACCTCTCCGTGTTATCACGGATAACTTTTGAGGATTGTCAGGGAGGGCCCTGGGCCTTATTAGATGTTGAATTCATTATGGAATGCTTCTTACTTTGTACTTGGTTGAGTGTGGAAAGAATGAGTGGAGAAAATTCTACTGTTTTTCTTCCTTTATACATCCCTTAACTTCTTTTTTAACAATTATATAAAGCTACAGAATTTTGAGAGAAGGTAGAAAAAAACAAATGTTTGGACCATGTGTCCTAGTATTAGACTGAAAAAGAGAATCAGTAGTAAATTAACCAAGACTTATTAATTGCTCTTAAATGACTAAATGCGTACTTCTAAGCCCCTTGTGTGATATTTAGAATACGGCTTCTGGCTGCTTGGGAACCAAACCCTTGTTTCTGTTCTACTTTGCCCACACTACACTACCCTTGCCTCTCTCCAACTTTCAAATAGTCCTCCCTTTTAGATTACAGTTTTGGCATTCTTTCCCCGTATTATATATAGCCCAAACTTTTATGAGTTTCCACAGAGATAAAACTAGCCACATCAACACCTATTTGATGATTTAATCACAACTGAGTCTCTGGAACAATGTAGAAAAAAAAGTAAGACCTGGTCATTGTCTCCCATGTGCTAACCATCTAATTAAGGGTATAAACATATGATACTGAAAAATATAATTAGACAGTTAAGAGATTGTGTTTAAGGTTGATTATCATAGCCTCAGTGGCATGGGAATTTATGTGGAAAAAAGATTTTTTGATGAATATAAATATATA